TAGGGCTGTGGGTACTTTTGGAGGTGGAGAGCGGCGTACGACTGGTTGGGATAGACTGGCCCATCCCGCTGGCGCGAGGGGGGTGCGAAGGGGTAGATGGGGTCTACCGAATTTGCGCGGACTGTGGCGTTGCTGGCGGTGGATACCGATGAGATGTCTCGCAAAAAGGCAGGACGGTCTGGGTGTTGGGGCGCGGGCGAGGGGGCCGTCTCGTCGACGCTGGCCAGCGAGGCGTACGAGGCATGAGTGCTTGTGCTGGGCGAGGGGTTGGACGAGGCGGGCGTGGAGTGGGGGATGGGCGACGAGTAGATGCGGAGGGGCTGTGGGGAGAAGTAGGACGGTTCAGGGTCGAGGGAGTGGGAGTGGGTGAGGAGGGCTGCGTTGAGGGCGTCTGGTACGGAAGGTACTTCGGAACGGGGGGTACAGTCGTTCTCGTCGACGTCGAGGGCGTGAGGGCGGTCTCTGGGGCGACGACGTGGGGTTTCGGGGCCATGGTGGTCTGGCGATGGTGGTTTGCTGGGGGAACTGTGGCCGTCGTGTGCAGAGGGCAGGCGCGCGTCGTTGGAGGTCGAGTCGCACATGGGTGACTCTGGCGGGCCTTTGTCGCAGGCGTGGAGCGGGTCCCCATGGGCTGTCAAGGCCGCATTTGGGTCTGGCATGGCAACTGCTACTCAATGGGTGCAGATTATGGCAGCAGTGCAACCATGTCAGCACTTTTTACGCTTTGTCGAGGCGGAGGTCGTGGGCGGATAGTGGCATTTCGCGGGGGGCCAGCAGCTGGGAGGGTCGGAAGCAGGGCAGCAGCGGGCGGCGTAGTAGTGCTGGGGGAAGCAGAGAGGGTCCGTGTGGTTGAAGGGGAGCAGGCAGGTGGTGAGAAGGGATGGATAGGGTGGATAGGGTGGATATGAGTTTAGTTGAGAGGCAGAAGACTGGCTCCGTTGGGCTTTCCAAATGGGGAAGTGATGGTCGCAGGTATTTCGGGGCCCATGGATGACGCTCAGAGGGCGGGAGAGACAGGCCGGGGGGCGTGCACTGGCGACACTTGTGGGGACACTATCGCGCAAAGGATAAGCGATGCCGGGCAGGCTAGGGCACGACGACGAGGGCGAGGGTCAGGGTCAGGGCGAGTCGGCGCCAGTGCGGGTGTGGGTGGGAGTTGGGTGAATGGGCGACGATCGTGGTGTATGTACGTATACATGGCCAGGCCCAGCTCGCTCCAGGTCCAGCTTCAGCTACTCCAGCGGCTTTGTTGAGGCCAGGGCTGCTGCGATACGGGCCACCATTGACTTGTCTTGCACTTGCTTGGGGGGAGAGGCGACGCGTGCGCACAGTCGCTCTCTGTCTACTACACACTAATACTACTACTACTACTGCTACTACTACTACTACTACTACTACTAACATGCTACTCTCTCACCCACACCCACACCCAGCACCCACCCACACACACACAATGGAGCAACACAGGCTGCGCCCGAGAAGGCCATCACGTACATGGCGCTAGGATGCAGGTGACGCCAACGGGTATGGGCAGTGCAGTGATGGTGCATGGGCCGAGGCGTTCACTGGCTCATCCAGGCCTGTCCTCAACAAGCCTTGGCCGGCCGTGGTGCTGAGGGGCGGGGTTCGGCATCGACGGTTGCTGCATCAGGCCGCATTAGACGATGAAGCGCGATAAGAGCCACAACCACGAGCCCGACTCTCCAGCACACGCCCTTCCCCAGATTTACCCTCGTCGCCGTACCAGGCACTGTGTCGCCCTCGCTGCGACGCCTGCTGCTGCATCTCCAACTTGTTTGCTTCTTCGCTCCCGCTGCCACCCTGCCTGCCCGTGTCTTGTCGGGTTCCATTGGCCCACCCCTCCTCCTCAGTACCCACCAGCGCCCCCCTCCTTCACCCGCATGTTATCTACGACATACTATACATATGTACATACATACATACATACATACATACATACATACATACATACATACATACATACATACATACATACACACACACAACCCTACGACACCCGCCTTGTCCATCCCTCCCCTGTACTTCTCTCTACGCGTAGAATTTGCAATAGAACCGCCGCCCTCGTCCGGTGTCGCCTTGACTAGTCCCCATCCCCATCCCCACCCCTCTCACCACTGCTCACCTCACGTCCACTTGCTTCGTGTCCACTCCAATTCTCCCTTACGCAACCTCTTGCTGCATGCAGTGCCCTTTCCCAGACCGCCTGCAGACCAAAAAATCCCAAAAATCATTCAATATGGTCACCTGGTGCCAACCCTCGCCGTCACGGGCCTCTGTCTGAGCACAGTCGCCCTGTAGTGCATGCTGCGAGGAAAAAAAAAAGGGACCCGGCCAGATGAAGGCCAGTCTAGGCGCCGCCCGCCTCCTCAGCAATCATCGTGAAAGTCCTAATCCGGTAAGGCTCTCACCCTCAATTTTCTGCACTCGACACCACAACCACCCAATCCATGGCAAGTCCCGCCGGCGTGTGCATTGCGCCAAGCTGCGCTAGTCGGCCGGCATCACATCGCTCTCTCTGCCGGCCACCTCACCCTCCCTTCAGTTCGCCTACCTTCGCTTCGCGCTTGTGCTCGACCCTTCTGATTGCCCAATGCCCTCCATCACCGACTCCGCAGGCGACACGAATCCGAGCGGGACTGGTGCTCCACCACGGAATCTTCCTACCAGCTATCGTGACTCGGCGCCACCCATTCTGGCTCTGCTGCTTGCCTTCCGCCTCACAAACGCTTTGGCCTTGCACACCTTTTTCCAGCCAGATGAGTTCTTTCAGTCTCTCGAGCCTGCCTGGCAGCTAGCCTTTGGCGACGCGAGCAATGCCTGGATCACTTGGGTAAACTTCAGCCCCCCTTCTTCCCATCCTCCCCTCACCACAACCCCCACGACCACTTTTCGCACATACCTTATATATATACACTTTGCACATACTCGGCTGCAGTCTCACCATATGAGCAGGAGTGGACAAGCCGCTTGCGCTCTTCCCTGCACCCAGCGCTATTTGCAGCCGTCTATCGTGTCGCGGCACATGTCGCTCAAGCCAGTGGATTGAGCTTACCAGCTAAAGCCGAGATCCTCCTAGTGGCGCCGAAAGTTACCCAGGCTGTCTCGGCAGCCTTGCTCGACTGCTACACATGGAAACTCGCCGGAAAAGTTTACGGTCGTGGCAGCCGTACTGCCCTTGCTGCTGTACGCCAATGCTCCTGCAATCTCCAAGCCCCCCAACTGCTCTTTGCCCTTTTCTAACATTTGCTTGTTGCTCCCCGTCTTAGCTTGCATTGTCTGTCTGCAGCCCCTGGCAATGGTTCTGCGCCACCCGGACCCTGTCCAATTGCCTCGAGACTACCATTACCTCCATTGCCATCTACCACTGGCCTTGGCAGGGTACAACAGACACCAGGCAAGTGGATCCTAGTGCTAAAGCGCAGCATTCACATCCCCATCTTGGCTCCCTCTCCCAGTAAGTCGTGGCATTAAGAAGGTCCCTTTCTGGGCGCGCACTCGTCCCCCTCTTTAGTCGCGTTGAGCTCATGCTCGTGCAGGTTGCGTCTGTCCCTACTACTGGCTGCGCTTGCATGCATTCTCCGGCCCACCAATGCTCTCATCTGGATATCCGTGGCTCTTCCAACGCTATGGCAAGCTTCTCAAACGTTGCGGTATGTGCTGGTCCGCGAAACCTTGCTCTGTGGGTACGTTCTTGTTCTCCCTGCATCCGCGGCACCATCTCTTCGCCCTTGTAGTAGTACAAGGTCTTTGTTCGTGACAAGCCATGCATACATGTTCTCCATCTGTCTGTCTCCCTACATGCTATTACGCGTATGAGAAAAAAAAAGAGAGAAGTCAGCAGATCAAACATGGAAACTGACAGTACAAAGCTGCGCTGTCTTCCTTGCCTCACTCGCATCCGACCGCCTGTATTACGGGGTCTGGACCATTCCGTCTCTCCGGTTCCTCTACTTTAACATTGCTCAGTCTCTAGCCGTTTTTTATGGCAAGAATCGTGCTGACTACTATTTCACCGAGGGTTTGCCGTTGCTGCTAACCACCGCACTCCCATTTGCCATAGTCGGCTTATGGCAATCACTGCAGCCTCAAAACCAAGACACCACTGTAGGCCGTCGTATCCTAACTCGTCTATCATGGACCACCATCATCATGACCGTGACGTTAAGTCTAATCTCTCACAAGGAAGTCCGCTTCCTGTACCCCGTCCTACCCTTTCTCCATGTCATATCCGCGCAGCCGCTGACCCAGTTTCTGCCGGCGCGCGCTGCAGCACCATGGCGACGAGGCATCATCCTCCTGCTTCTTGCAGCAAACATGCTTCTAGCCGGTTACGCGTCGCAGGTCCATCAACGTGGCGTCATCGACGTACTCGGCTACATCCGCCATAAACATGAAACGCGCAATACGCTATCATCCATGTCTTCCCACCACCAGGGCTCCCGCATCAACAGCATCACCAACACCACTGTCGCTTTCTTCATGCCCTGCCATTCTACGCCCTGGCGCTCCCACCTCGTCTACCCTGAAATCTCCGCTTGGGCCTTAACCTGCGAGCCCCCTATCCACATCCCCCTCGCAGACCGCTCCGCCTACCTCGATGAGGCAGACGAGTTCTACATCCGTCCTGGCCCTGTGGCCTGGCTCAAAGCCAACATGGAAGATGTTGAGACGGTGAGGGATGCAGGGAGCAGATCGGGTCAGCATTGGATGCGCCAGGATCCAAGGTTTAAACGCAAGTATCGCCGTGAGTGGCCGCAGAATCTTGTCTTTTTTGAACAGCTGGAAGGTGTTTTGAAAGAGCACTTGGCTGGGTCGAGGTATCAGGAGTGTTGGAGGGGGTTTAATTCGCATTTCCATGATGATTGGAGGAGGGTGGGGGATGTGGTTGTTTGGTGTTTGGATGGGTGATGTGTAGTATTTTAGTACATAAAACGTTGAAGGAGCATAGAAAACTTGACATGTCCTACGTCACAATACAAATAACTTCTTTAACAATTCCTGTACTACTCTAGCCTAAACGTTGTATGCAGTTACTTTTATGAGCTTCTTTCTGAAGAGAAAAAAAAATGATTTAATAAATTAGAGGCCGTAGGCAAAAACTGACAAAAGCTCTCCCTCCAGAACGACATCTAGAAAAGAGCCTTGGATGCTACACTAAGCAACCACGCAGCATCCTGCCATCCACCGGCCTCCTCATTCGCCCGCCTCGTCTGATCTTCACTACCCTCCCCTTCACCCGCCGTACTCGGTCGACTCCCCTCTACCTCGCCATGCTGACTCTTAACCGCGGCCGCCGCAATAATGGCCTCACGCTCCATTTTCCTGCGCCTAGCCTCGACCTCGCGCCTCAGTTTAAGCTCCTCCTTGGTCAAATCATCCAGTTTCAACTCCTTACCACGGAGTCCCTTACCCTCACGTACATCCTCGTCCTCATCGTCCTCATCGTCCTCATCCGACCCCTCTCTATCCTCATCCACAGCAAACAACGACCACCCAATCAGGCGATCCATCCAGCTTCCGAGCCCAAACCCGCGTTCGCGCGCCAACCGCGCGACTTCTTCTTCGTCGCTGTCGGAATCCTCGTCGGCCTCAATGAAATCGGGCTCGATGAAGCGTTCTTCAGGCTCAGACGCTGTCTTGATGCCCAGACCCGTCATGAGATCCACGCGGCTGCCCACTCTGCTGCCGCGGCGACTGGGGCGCGCGCTAGGGACGCGCGAGCCCATGCGGCTGGGGAACCTGCTGCCAGCGCGCGACATGCGGGGGGAGAAGAAAGACGGGTAGTCCGCTTCATTGACATGTTCGCCGGATAGAAGAACCATGTGGTTGTTATTATCGTGGGGGGCATCGGGATTGTACTCGGTGTCTTGGCCTACGAGGCTTGTGGAGCTTTCGCGGCGGACGAGCCAGCTCTGGCCTTTGCTATCTCTTGTTTCGCCGGCGATGGCGAGGCCGGCGCGGTGGAGCCATTCGTGGTTTGATTCTTTGGTGTGGTGTTTGATGGGGGGTGAGAAGAGAGGGAGAGGCGCGGTGCCTTTTCTTGTGTGATGCCGCGGCTTGCTGGCTTCCTTCACGCTCGCCACTTCATCTGTAAAGCTAACTCCGGGATGCAGTACGCTTGTGCTCTTGGCTTTTGGTATATCGCCAGCTGCTCGGATCTCAGAATTGGTATCGACGAAGTAGCTGTCGTATGCGTAGGCCTTTCTGGTGTGCTGTCTCGAGCTGCTTCGGGTTTGACTGAGGCTCAATACGCCTGGTGTGGCAGGAGCCGACTTCTGGGCTATGTAGGATGAGCGAGGTGTCTGAGTTCCCGGCTCGTCGGGCGATGGTGGAACAGATGCATCGAGTGGGTATTTGGCGCTGAGCGGGGCTATGGAGAGATTGTGGAGGTTCGGGTAAGACCGGCGCGATCGCGAGGTTGATCGTGGAGTTTCCATGATATTCGAAGATCAGACGGTGCAGTTACGACGTCGACTGTCCATATATCTCACAGGACGCCAAATCGTGTGCCGTGATGATGGAGTGACCGAGGTTCGACACTTGCGCGCACGGACTCTGGGGATGGGAGATTTAGTTTGTTTGCGGTTTAGCGGGCGATCAACGAGATTTTGCACGTGAAAGCGCAGAAGGAGAAAACGACGCCAACCTAGCACGCGAAGGCGATGTCGAGGCAAAGCCGCCGAAGTTGATGATCGACATGCACACCCAGGTGGCTAGCTATACAGGCCCATATTCGTCGCAGCACCTGCCTCATATACTCTGAAGGCTCGTATCGATCTACGTACTTGCGAGCCATGCACCAGATCTGCAACTACGACGGCCCTTCTGCGAAGTCTTATTACCATGGATACAATGGAGTTGTGGCATGTAAACGTCGAGAGAGGCAAAAGTTATCATGTTACAGCCGGCAGTTGGTGTTGGCAGTGAGGATTCGATACGCTTCGAGTAATATTAGGCGGCTGCTGTGTGCCGATAGACCCACCACCTTGGAGGGAAAGTAGACCTACGCATACGCTTAAACATACCAACACGCCACTACCCACTGCTCCATGTGGCCTTTGTGGAGCGATGACGGAGCCAACGGCGATAGGAAAAGTATCAGACATGGCTCGGGCCCGAGGCCGAGACGGTGTTGAGACGCGCCGCCCAAGTCCGAGCTATGCGACGGAGCAGCAACCTTGGAATGGGAGTGTGGCCAGACTGCCAAGGGGCTGTCTTTGGATTAGCCAGCCTTCCAGGCCACGGGTTTTGGGGGGGGGGCGTAACAATCCATACACAGAACATTTAGTAGTGGCACATACGTTGTCATGGTATTACAGTGCAATTATTCACCATCCGCAGTGTTCCTGCTTACTCCATCGCCAATCACACAGACAAACAAGGGAAAAAAAGAGCATCGAGTGACGTACATATGGACTTTGCCAGGCCTGGTGGACCCTTAATAATGTTCCGCGTTCAGACAAGCGGACCAAATCCGCTTGCTCTTACTCGAACCGTTCAAGGCGCACTAGAAGCACCCGAGACTTTCCACAACACCAAACCCACGCCCATTATAATCACACTACTTTTCCACGGTCCCGTGAACTACGGCTGACGTCCTTGTCGCTACCGCCCCCCAGGCATCAGTGCACAAATATCCCCCTCCCCCCTCGGTGCACGCCCCCCTACCACCTTGTCCTACCCTCTAATTGCAATACCTGCTCGCCATGAACTTCGCTGCCGCCTCGCATCCCCGCAAGACGCCGTCAACATGTGTCCTGTAACAGGCCCATAACCGCGAAGTAAGTCGCCCTGTCCACTGTGTTGGAATCAAACGCCCTTGAATTCGCCCCCAGCACCACCAAAGCTTGGTTCGCACCATCCGCAACCATAGATCTGCATCTCGATACCTGCCGAAACACCCTTTCCCACAGCAACTAACGCGTTCAAAAGGCTGTCCGCGCTGGCTTCTGTCCCCATACTTTACCGATACTATCTCCCGTAACTCTTCGCGCACATAGCCACACTATTCTCATACCACACCCGCCGCTAGCGACCTCCCCATCTACTAGAAACGCAGCATTGAGAGCGCGCCGAGGCACAAGCTGAGCTTGTCGCTAAAAGGCTCGACGCCGCCCCATTACCCTCAGAATACCACCAACCCCATACTACCCCATAATGTCCATATCGGATGGAGATAGCTCGGCCCCGGCCCTGGCCCTTGGCCTTCGTCACTACCGCGACCAGAACGACGAGGAAAACGCCTACGACAGGATCAGGGAGTTTGTCCGCTCCCTCGGTCTCTCTGCGAGCGACGGACTCATCTACCATGCTACCGAGAATACGCATGAGGACCTGAAAGATGTCCTAAACCCACGCGATCACGAATGCTCCTCGAATTGCACTGCAGAATCGCACGGCACCATCACCCCGACCCTCTCCATCCCTTCATCCCCTGAGCGCCTACAACCCCTGGTTCCTCCCACAAATTACGGTGCGATTCTGCCCGGGTGCATCTACCGCAGTGGATACCCGCAGGAGAAGAACTACGGCTTCATCAAGGACGTTGGTATCAAGACAATCTTGACTCTCGTGCCGGAGCCCCTCACGCCTGAGTTCCAGGCCTTCATGAAAGATGCTGGCATACAGCATTTTCACGCCCATATACGCGCCAATAAGGGCGAAGTTCGCGTCGAGTCGTGCGAAATGGCACGGGCTCTCCGTCTCATCATGGATCGCTCAAACCATCCCATCCTTGTACATTGCAACAAGGGAAAGCACCGCACTGGATGCACCATCGCTTGCTTCCGGAGGGTGCTAGGCCTCGATCCTGACGTCATCCGCGAGGAATACCACACGTACGCCGGCGTCAAGGCCCGCTTTCTCGACGAGGTCTTTTTCGAGAATTTTGACATCAACCTCGTTATGTGGGTGGCGCGCCAACAAGGCTGGGTCACGCCTGAGATGGACATTGCACCGCCCACGCCGCCAGCCTCCATCACATCCAGCGTCACCATCAAGGCTGTCGCTCTCGCATGACCACACATATCCTGTACTACATCACACACTTTTTCTCTTGCATATTCTGGCGTTTAACAAGGGGCCTATGGAATCAAGGTCGAAGACCATTCCCACTAAGATGATTTGTCTTTTTTGGTCCCTTTTCGGGATCCGGCGCAACAAGGGAAGTCACAAGGCGATACCATCCAAACCAATGCATTGAGGTTTGTACTAAGGGTGAAGGGGATCCGGCGTTTGAGGTACTTTCCAAGCAATCATTGGAATTAAACTCCTTTTTCTTTTATTTCTTTAAAACTGTTGTATAATACTACACTTGAGTAGTAAAAATACAACAGCTTTTTTCGTCATTTTGACCCTTTTTTTTCTTGCTCTCTCACCACCTGCTTTCGTCACATGTGTATTCAACATAAGAAGAAGAGAAAAAAATTATTCACATTGTAAACCTGTAGTGTAATATTCTTTTGTACTATCTGCTGTTCATTTGTCAGTTTCCTATGTATATAGTATGAACTTTTTATGCGTGGGTTAATAATTTCTAGGATCACCCCCCTTCCCTCCCCCCGCTTTTTTCTTCCCAAATCGCAAACATACGCGATACAGGTAAGTTTAGCGTGACATAAGAATAGTGTTTCGAATATGCACAAGAAAAAGAAAAGACGAAGAAAATAATAGATTTGGTTTACGTTGGCCCAATTGCCGACCTTGCACCCTCCTTACTCTAACACTCGCGTTCGTTGTGTTTATGTGTTTGTTTACGTGTTTTTATGAACATGCTTTTTTTGGGGGGGAGGAAGGCCCTGCAGTGATGATCTCGGGTCTCCACTGACGTTACGAGCGGTACTTTTTTTTGACTTTGGACTATTACTCACCCATTACCATGATTCTGGTGATGCAAGAAATCCCTGCAGGTTTTCTTAATGGGCTTCCCTGTCGATCCGGCTTGAATTGCGTGGCTGTGCTAAGGAAGGGGACCCTGGGGGGTTGGAAAGGGGGGAGGAGGGCCATGCAGGGCGTGGCTTTTTTGCTTTTTGGGAGGTGATGAGGTCATGGGCGGTGATGGCCGATTGGTGGGCGCGTGGGTTGATTGGTAAGGATGGATGGGGTATGGGTTTGTGAGCATGACGGTTGTGGAAGACGGACGGGTTGTGGGATTGAAGGAATGGCAAGGGTGTGTGTTCAACGGGTTTTGTGGTGGATTCGGTATGACGTATGAATGTGCCATGTCTCATTATTCTATGTCCGAACCATCTCAAGTTTCCCAACTTTCTACACTGTAAACTTCAATTCCATACCACCTGCTACACCGTTGCCATCGGACATACTCGGTGGCCTATCCTCCTTGATTGTCCCCCACTTACTTTCCTTGTCCCCTAGCACCAACTCCAGCGTCCCTCCTTTGGTGAAAAACTCGTGTCCAATCCAATTCTTAGTATATTCCTTGCCATCCAGCTTGGCACTCTGAATGTAAATGTTCTTGTACTGCGCATCGAAGTTCACGGTACGGATGGTGGCCGTCGCATTAGTCAACTTGTTGGTCACAGAGACTGAGGGGAAGAATGGAGGAGTGATGAAATATACGTTTTGACCTGGGTTGGGGAAGAAACCCAGCATGTGGAAGAGCGTGAAGCTGGCCATGGAGCCACTGTCGTCATTACCTGGGAGGCCGCCCGGGGAGGTGTTGAATCGAGACGGGATATCTAGGTCCAAAGCGTTAATAAGACACAGCACTGCGTGAAGGAAAGAAGACATACAATAATGCGCCCGCTCAGCCGACAACGCTGGCCTACCCGCATAATGCGGCAGTGAAACCGTCAAGAAAACCGGCTCATTGCCTATATCTGCCAAACCCGACGTATGGAAAAAATTCAATCGACTAATAAACTTTTCGTCGCCGCCCACCAACTCAATTACCTGGCCGATATCATGCGGCACAAAAAACATGTACTCCCAAAGACTACTTTCGAATGTCTCAGCCATATTGCTCGTCAGAGAGCAGAAATCTGTCAGCGGACTACATGCAATGGGGTCTTGGAAGCCGAATGTTCCGTTGAGGTATCTGGGCTGGAAATAGCCTACGAAACCAGTATCCGTGCCGTTGACGGAAGATGTCTGATCGGGCTTGAAAAGGTTCTTCCAGTTCGTTGCACGGGAAAAATATTTCGGTGCCGTGTCTTTTCCTAGGCTGTGGGCGAGGACGGCGAGGTTATAGTCGTTGTAGGCGTATTCGAGGGTTCGGGATACGCTTCGTGAGTTCGTGCCAAAGCCGATAGGGTCGAAGTCTAGGGCTGGGATGTATTTTAGTCTTTTCCAGCTGGTCAGGCCGCCGCGGCCTTGGAAGCTCCATTCCAGAGGCTCGTTTTCGGCGTCGTTGACGATGGCTTCGTAGGCGAGCTCCCAGTCTATGCCAGAGGTAACATTCTTGAGGTAGGCGTCTACGAGGACATTGTCTGCGTTGGAGCCGCCTTGTGTCCAGCCGCTGCAGGTGCTCATCATGCAGTCTGGGAGCCAGCCGCGGTGCTTGTACGTGTCTAATAGACTTCTGATGAAGACTGAGATCATTCCTGGATCGAGAATCGAGAGAAAAGGGAGCTGAGCTCGCCAAAGGTCCCAGATGCAGTAGAAGGAATCATAGTACGGCTCGGTACTCTGCCAACGAGGGTTTTCACCCGTGTAGTTCTGGGGAGATATCATTGTCCGGTATGCCGCACTCCAGAAGCTTACCAGCATACTTTGGTCCACGTCTCCTAATTCTATCGAGATCGGCGACAGTTTTTCCCGCCATGCATCTTCGGCTGACTTGACTAGCCGATCGAAGTCGATGTCAGGGTTGGGTATCTCATACTCAGCATTCTGGCACGCCTGGTCAGTGCCAATGAAGCTCAATCCCATCCGCGCAAGCAAGGGGCCCGAGAGTGGTCCTTTGAAGCGTACGAAACCTCCAGCCTCGAGATAAAAGTTGTTAAAGCCACGCGTGACAAAAAGCTGTTTCGGTTCTGTACCAGCTCGACTATTGACCCAGACTCCAGAATCTCCTACCGTTGCACCAGACAGATCCAGACAAAAGTAAGACTTGTACGATAATGCTCCGAAGCTGGGAATAAAAGTTCCATTTCCTTTTATTCTTCCGCTCTCAGCACCCTTGGTTGCCTCGACACTGATCGAAGCGTTTTGTCGGCTTGCCCGAAGATCAGTCAGGTCGAGTAGGATCAGTGGGTCTGAGCTCGAATTACCAGTGGATGCCTTGGAAAAGTCGAATCGAAAAAGAGCAGCATGCTCCGAGACGGTCATATCGGCATATATACCATTCTCTAGCGACACTCCAAAGTAGCCTGGTCGTGCTTTGACCGAGTCGCCTTTATAGTGAATTGCACGCGCAGCAATTTGATATTTGCAATCGTTAATGTCGTCTCCAGAGCAGAGCTGTGGGAGAATGGGGAAGTTCCCCAAACTCGGAAAGCCTCCGGTGCCAGAATCGTGGAGGGCAGAGAAGCCAGTCACGTTGCTTCCGTCGGTAGAGAAGCCTCCCGTGTTCGCCCCGTCAACGTCTGCAACGGCTGCCTTGCTATGAGCTTCTCATACTTGTTTCAACCGTAAAAATACCATACCTTTAGCCATGCCATATGGCAGAGTCGCACCAGCGAAAACATTGCCTCCATCCCGAGAACCAATCAATGGGTCGATGAATTTCAACACATCTGTACCGTTAGTTTTTCGACGGTGTACCCTCGCCGTCGATAGGGTGATGACTTGTGTTAAGATCGAGAAGTGGGTGGTAATACGCATGATGGTCGTCTTGTAAACACTGCAGTTATGCTAGCTCAGCCCTTCGATGTCACTTAAGAGGGAGTGTCTTCACCCCTCAAGACGTGATATTGTATTAACCTTGGTTAAAAGTAAAACTCTAAAGTCGCATAAGACTTATTCAGCGGAAGGACCGGAAGAGTCTTTCACTGTATCCTGGCTCTAATCAATAGCCTAGGAAATTGCACTCAACAGCGACGTCACTTTGGTTGGTGGTTGATGCCCGCTTTGACGGCGGGGCAAAGTTACCGACAGACTGGAAATGCAACCTCAACTACATGGAAAACCTAGTAGACAACATTAATACTACTCAACTACTATGTACCATGAAGTTGCCTTCAGGGTGAGGCTGCAAGCTTACGTACTATGCCCAGCCCTACGAGCGATCCCGTGGTGCCCCGCTCCGTACGCCGCTGGCCTAGAGAATGCCCAGCATTGCTTGGGTACTACCCCACAACCGATTGCTTATGTCATTGTATAAAACCCGGCAAAATCGCCGTAGTCTATGCAGTCATTTATTTTATTGATGAGAATTTTACAGAGGCCCCCATGGGTGCCAATCCCATAGCCATTTTCCTAAATAGGCACGAACCGGTAATTGGGAGGAGGGGTTGTCCCGGGATGCCGTGCACGAGACCTCCTATCCAATGAACGACAATGCCTCATCTTAAAGAGAGGCCAGTAAGTGCTGCAAGATGGAAACCTCTTGCAAGCCCTACGGATGGACCACGGGCCACGGACCACCGGTGCAAGGCACGTTTGGTCGGGTACGGAACCCGATTCACTGGGGACTCCTGAGAAAATTAGCCGTGCTCAGGCTTCACAGGGAGTGACGACACAGATGTGGATTGGAGCTGAACCTGTTTTCAAGTGCCTTGTAGGCGAGTCTTTGGTTTCTCCTAAGAGCAAAAGCTTAAGGCTAAGAGCGGGAAAGAAGAATAGCTTGGGCCATATTTAGTGTACTACGTCGCGCTCCAAATTCCTGGCACACGTCATCTGCAGCGTCTTGTACTGTCCGTCTTGACTGTCCTTGGCTGCAAAAGCGATGTGAGCTTGTGGAGTCTGCCATCCACTAAAGATGATAGCTTCGTGGTGGTTTGGCGCAGCATCACATCGCCAGCCGTGTGCTAATTTAAACGGACGGCTACCTTGAAGCTGCTGCGCATGCCTCTGGACTGCCTCGTCGAAACCCCGAGTGGATTCTTCTGAGACACTAATTCTTTCAATCACTAAAATAGGCATATCCAGTGGAAGCAAGTTCACGCCACCAAGTTCCACATGAACTGTCCAACAAAACTGCAGCATCTTTTCTTGGGGGCCGAGAATATGATCTTTGGAAGGTGAGGCAAGGAAGTCTATATGAGCATTGAGACTTGGCCATGTGCCTAAAATATAGATCAAGCCAGGATCGTCGATGCAGTTGTAGAAGTGGGAGCCGGTCTGTAGTTCGGCTCGGACGGTCGACAGGCTCTCAAGCAGTGCCGGGTCGTCGGCTGAGAGCTCTCTTAGACGGAGCTGGGTGACCTCGAGGACGGGCATGGTTTACCGTGGGAATGGAAACGATGCGATGCTGTGTCACAGACCGATATAGCAGCAGGAAGCGGGAGCACGTGCAGGGTGGTGGATGGATAGAGGAAGAGACCAATGGCGAGGAGCAGGGTCCAATTCACAGCGGCTGGACGGCTGGACACTTTGCTGGCTGCGTTAGCGGCTTGGCAGGCCACTTCCACGGCTGCTGCTGCGTTCAGCTCACCTCCTGTTTTGGCATCTCCGTTGCTTGGACACCACCTGTGCCTGATGAAGCTTAAAGCCTGCATGCGGGGACTACAAGGTTACGCGAGATTTTTGACGGTTGGCCAATAGCAAGATTCACATTGGTTCCACACAAATGCTTCACAAGTCCTACCAAATTCCTTCTCTTCACTTCCACGCCATTCATAGGACATTGGAAAGCCTCTTGGATCAACCGTATGCAGCTCTAACTATAATTAAGCCCTCGAGACGTACACTTCTACCTCGAGACTCAAGACGATACTAATTCAAGTTTCACGCCCTGTCCAAGACAGTCTTAGGCGTGGCCAGACTGGTCCAGTGGCAGATCAACCTATCGGCAACGTCCCTCTTCTTGGCGAGGCTTGCCCTCATCTTGTGATGCAGGAATAGTCTGTTCAACAGCCGCAGGCAGCAGGAAGAGTGTGAAGCCGTTATCTCCCGCCATCGCGACGCCATCGCAACGGGCCCGGCGTGTACACCGGCCCGTCATGAGCGAGACGCCTCGCGATGGAGTCCACTGAAGAGCATGTTTCATCGCAAAGTCTGCCTAGAGCGATCACAAGGCATACATGCCTAGAAAAATGATGCACCAAGGAGACACAGCCCTCGAAGCCATCGACAGCCATCTAACGGTTATGGCTGCACACCGGTGAGCCGACTAGTCACTGAGCTCCTACTTGCTAGACCTATTATACCGCTGTCATAGTTATAATACTATGCAAGCTTCTCATTCTATTTGTCCGACACGTCAGTTTTACGGTACAGGGCTGTGAGTCAGCCAGGGCTCAGCCGTAACACCTGGCATCCCCTGATTAATGTGCATCAACCACACCCGCGGGGTCGGTCGCTTCGCGCTCCCTGTCTAAGCCCCCAAATTTTGTGCTCCCATGCAGGGCCATTGCTTGTCGTGGATGGACAGAGTATATATCGACACATGGGAAGCAGCACCCGCGACCGTGGCTACGGAATCATTCTTCTTGCCTTCACTGCTCATGTCGTCTCCACAAGATCGCGGTAGTGTATTGGATAGTTCTTCAAGCGACTCACCAACACTGTCGGACTGTCGAAATGAGAGCATAGCACCACTGCCCCGCAGGCCCATTCCAAGGAAGGGCCACACCAAATCACGCCGTGGGTGCTACAGTTGTAAACGACGACGTATAAAGTGCAACGAGAGACATCCCGAGTGCAGTCACTGCCTCAAAGCTGGGCTACAGTGCGAGTATCCTGCCAACATCATCCAGGCAACTCAGCGCTCCCACGCTATCTCAGGTCCACGGGAGACAGGCAACTTCAGGCCCGCTCCAGGAGTATTCGTGAGCACTTCCCTAAGCCTAGAGTTAGTTTGAAAGTACCTGACAACTATAGTCTATGGGGGATATGCGCTTATTTCACCATTTCCTCATCACTGCATACCCACATCTACCTGTGGGGCAGGATAAGATATGGGTTACTGTAATTCCCAGCTTTGCACATAACGTAGGTTATCTCTAAGAAGGTTTCGAAAGAAGAATATTCTCCAAGCCGATGTATTGTCAGATCCCAGGTCTGCAGGCTGATTCTCGCAGTATGAGTATCTCATCCATTCGATCCTGGCCCTATCTGCATCCCATCTAGATGCCGTAACAAGCTCTGGTGTTGCTGAGCAGGCTATACAACACCGAATCCTAGCAGTGAAGTCGCTCAATGAGGCGTTATCAGTACCCCCGAAGACGCGATGTGAGCGAGATGCTAGAATGGCGGCTGCCTTGGCTCTTGCATTCCAATCAACCCATTTGCAAGACGGCATGGCAGAGTTCCTCACCATGGTCCGTGGTTGCAATCTGATTGCAGGAGACGAAATGTCGCTGAACGAGGATTCGGTTTTCCATGTACGTAGTACTTGCTCCAATCAAAGTTGCAGCCTCATCCTAACGCAAGCTAGGTATTCCGCGAAGACAATCACCTCCAGACAATACGCAACCGCATTAATACCTCGTCAATGAGCTGTGTCAACCAAGAAGATCTCGACATAGCCTCCGTATCCCTCAGCTCAATCGAATCTCTCTACATGTCCGACTGCGAACGATCATATTGGGAGCACCTCGCGAGTGTAGTAAACCACGCATACGAGAGACCGATCGACGCATACACCGCCTTTGTTACACTATACAATATTCCATCGCGGTGGACACACGAACAATTCCAAGCCTTCATCGACCCCAACAACAACGTTGCGCAAATCTTGCTCGCCCACTTCATAGCCATCCAAGCCATCCTCACACCCATCCTCTATCTCGAGCGGGTGGGCTTCCAAGGAGTTAACGCACCTACCGCTGTCTTGGGCTGGATCGAGGGTATCTACTGGAACGTCGCTCACCACTTACGGCATTACGTTGAGTGGCCTAGGCAAGTTTCAAAGTACCCCTTTGGACGATTCATGGGCCAGAAGCTGTCGGATAACCCTGACATAGACCCGAATTTGCTATGACAGAGTCAGAGATAAGATTATACTAACGAAGTGCTACGAGTTTCTTTCCTTCTTTTTTCCTTTTCTATTGGCCCTGGGTTCCCATGACCTGCAATGACATCTCGTGTACATACGCTGGATTTGGAGTTCTATCTTGTAACTTTATTGTCTCTAGTAAAGCTCATCGTTGTGCGATAGTGCAATCATTTTGTCAGAAACTTCCAGGGACTTTACTTTCCTTTGTCATCCATCGTTACATATCCCTTCAAATGCCGAGTTTCTATTCTTCGTTCTCTCATATGTTCAGCAGTGCTATAGTCACCCCAAAAAACACTTCAAGTACTAGGGAGTAAGCTAATAATATATATTGCAATGATTTAATATTGTTACCAAAAGTAGTATAAGACTTTTCCGCATCCCGACGTGACTACATAACGAAATGACTGAACGAAGGTGACCGAACTTTTACAAAGGAAAAGAAAAGAAAAGCGAGTGTCGTGTGAATCCGTATACGAGAAAAAGCAGCGAGTGAACGTCGTGTACGACGATGTGTGAGAGAAAAAGAGAAAAAGAAGAAGAAGAAGAAGAAGAAGAAGGAAAAAAGGGGAAAGCATACAGTACCCCACGCACTTCTCCATCAATCAAACCCCCATACTAGCCACCCACCTCCTAAACCCCCCCTTCCCCCTCTCCCTCCTCATTTCCACCCTCTCCATCTCAACCCTAACCTCATCCTTCAACCCGCACACCCACCACGCCGGCCCCTTCTCCCTAACCACCCTCTCCTGTGCCTTAACCCAATAATCCTGCCCCATAGCGCGATCCTTGACGCGATCGCAGAGCCACTCGAGCCACTCGCCGCGATCCCAGCCACAGCGACCGCCCCATTTCTGTTTGACGCCGAGAGCGAAGTCGTCGATGTCTTTTTTGGCGCAGCGCGGACAGAAGGTTTGTTGCGGGTAGAAAGAGGTGCCTGGGAGCGGGGTGCGGTAGAAGGTGTAGAGGTGGTTGGAGTAAGGGGTGTATTGGGTTTTGCAGGTTGCGCTGATACAGGGGCGGAGGGTGTAGCGCCAGTCCCATGTTTCGTGATGCCGTTGTTGAGGTTTGTCTGGGTTACTACTGCTATTGCTCTTGCTGATGGTGGTGGTAGGCTGAGATGGGGAGCCCAGGACGCGGCGTTTTTGCATTCGAATGAGTTTGGCGTTGTGGATACGACGGTCGTCGCGGTATTCTTCTTTTAGTTCTTCGAATTCGGCGGCGACGGTGCCGAGGGTCTTGCGGCCCGCATTTTGACGGAGCATCTCGTAGGCGTGCTTGAGGGTTGCGTTGGCTTCTTCGAGCTCGCGGACTGCGTGACGAGGACAGTGTGCGTGCAGATGAGATAGGAAGTATGGGCCGCTGGCGAGGTAAAATGATGGACCTAAGTGGAATGGTGTGTAGTGTGCCTTACATAAAGGATATAGACATGGTATGTAGTTTTCAAGTGGGTTGTATTGACCCGAAGGAGCGGTAAAGAATGCCGATGTCTGGAGGGTGGCTGGCGCTGATTGAGTAGAAAAACGGGAAGTATTGTTTTTAGAAGACTCGTAAGATACTCCGCGAGACTTTGAACCAAGGGATGGCGGCTTGTAATGTGCTGGTAGCGGAATTCCCATCCATCTTGGATCGGGCTCTTGGGAGGTTGTTTGTACAAGCGATCTGTGACTGATTCGTCTCTTGATAGCTTGAATGGACATACCATGAGAGGCTGGAAGGGAACTCGGACGGTTGAAATTAGGTGGTGCAGGTGCTGAGTTGTATTGAGAACCGTTAATCTGCTTGGACAAACTCGCAGTCGGACTTGCAAAAGGGAGGCCATTATGGAACTGAAGTGTCGGAAGCGGACTCGGTATTCTTTTGATTATGGATTCTGGTGTTTGTATAGTCCGCCGCTTCACTGACGGCTTAGATCCCAACTTTGGTACCAGTTGTGGTTCGGCGAATCGTACAATGGCTGGCGATGACTTAGAGTGCGACAATGTACGAACCAATTCGGGTGACTTGAGGCTAGGCTTTAGGCTCGACCGGGCAGATTGCGGGGTCAGTAATTCGGGCTGCGGGGCTAACAGTTCATGTTGTAGAGGTGGCAACTGTGGTGGTGTCGTTGACAGCTTAGGTGGTGGTGTTGACGGCTCCGGCGATGATATCGAAGATGAAGATGAAGCTGAATCATCATATTCAAAACTGAGATTTGACTCCGATGAAGCCGGACTCGATGAGTCGCTAGTATTACTGTAGATAAAAGGTATATTAAGAGGTATTAAGCCAGCTGCAGCTAGAGAATAGGTAATGACTGTTGGAGAGCAGCTTGACGAAGCGCTGGCTGACAGAACATGGCGGGCGGCCTACTT